AAAAATTATTAATATATTTTCAAATTACGGAGGACTTAGTGTTACATAACTATCTAATAGACAATTTGATTGAAATAATGACCGAATCATCAATTTTTTCAAAAACTATCGATATATTTTCAAATTACGGAGGACTTAGTGTTACATAACCATCTAATAGACAATTTGATCGGAATAATGATCGAATCATCATTTTTTTTTTAAATTATCGATATATTTTAAAATTACGGAGAACCTGTATTACATAACCATCTAATAGACAATTTGATCCGAATAATGATCGAATCATCATTTTTTAAAAACTATTGAGTTGATCGAAATAATGACCGAATCATCAATTTTTTTTAAAATTATCGATATATTCTCAAATTACGAAGGATTTAGTGTTACATAACCATCTAATAGACAATTTGATCGAAATAATGACATAATTATCAATTGATTTTAAAATTATCGAAATATTTTTAAATTTATGATCTCGTGAAGCAACGAAAAGCTGAGTGCAAATCAAGAGCTGAGTGAGTGATCAACACTCAATTTATAATCACTCATCTCTTGAATGTTTATATATATAAATTCAAATAAACATAAACATTCAAATTTGTTTTTATTATTTTTAATGTTTTTATATTTTACTTGATAGAAAATATAATGACACATTCAATTTATTTGAATTTATATACATAAACATTCAAGAGGTAATTTTAAAAAAAATTCATCCCTTGATCACTCATCTCTTGATTATTCACTCATCTTTTGGTCACTCAGCTCATGATCACTCATCTCTTGAATGTTTATAATCATAAATTCAAATAAACATAAACATTCAAATTTGTTTTTATTATTTTTAATGTTTTTATATTTTACTTGATAGAAAATATAATGACATATTCAATTATTTGAATTTATATACATAAACATTCAAGAGATAATTTAAAAAAAATTCATCTCTTGATCACTCACTCAGCTCTTGATCACTCATCTCTTGATAACTCAGCTCATAATCACTCATCTCTTGATCACTTAGCTCATAATCACTCATCTCTTGAATTGTTATGTATATAAATTCAAATAAATATAAACATTCAACTTTTTTTATTATTTTTAATGTTTTTATATTTTACTTGATAGAAAATATAATGACATATTCAATTTATTTGAATTTATATATATAAACATTCAAGAGATAATTTTAAAAAAAACTCATCTCTTGATCACTTACTCAGCTCTTGATCACTCATCTCTCGATAACTCAGCTTATAATCACTCATCTCTTGAATGTTTCTCTTGATCACTCATCTCTTGATCATTCACTCAGCTTTTGATCAATCATCTAATGATCACTCATCTCTTGATCACTCACTCAGCTCTTGATCACTCATCTCTTAATCACTCAGCTCTTGATCACTCATCTCTCGATAACTCAGCTTATAATCACTCATCTCTTGAATGTTTCTCTTGATCACTCATCTCTTGATCATTCACTCAGCTTTTGATCAATCATCTCATGATCACTCATCTCTTGATCACTCACTCAGCTCTTGATCACTCATCTCTTAATCACCCATCTCTTGATCATTCACTCATCTCTTGATCACTCATCTCTTGAATGTTTATGTTCATAAATTCAAATAAACATAAACATTCAAATTTGTTTTTATTATTTTAATGTTTTTATATTTTACTTGATAGAAAATACAATGACACATTCAATTTATTTGAATTTATATACATAAACATTCAAGAGATGAGTGATCATGAGCTGAGTGATCAAGAGATGAATTTTTCTTTTTTTAAATTATCGATTGAATATTTATGTATATAAATTCAAATAAATTGAATATGTCATTATAAATTCTATCAAGTAAAATATAAAAACATTAGAAATAGTAAAAACAAATTTATAAATTCTATCAAGTAAAATATAAAAACATTAGAAATAATAAAAACAAATTTGAATGTTTATGTTTATTTAAATTTATATACATAAACATTCAAGAGATAATTTAAAAAAAATTCATCTCTTGATCACTCAGCTCTTGATCATTCAGCTCTTGATCACTCATCTCTTCATAACTCAGCTCTTGATCACTCATCTCTTGAATGTTTATCTTGATCACTCATCTCTTGATCACTCAGCTCATCTCTTGAATTGTTATGTATATAAATTCAAATAAACATAAACATTCAATTTTTTATTTTTTTATTTTTAATGTTTTTATAATTTACTTGATAGAAATTATAATGACATATTCAATTTATTTGAATTTATATAAATAAACATTCAAGAGATAATTTAAAAAAAAATTCATCTCTTGATCACTCAGCTCATAATCACTCATCTCTTGAATGTTTATGTATATAAATTCAAATAAATTGAATATGTCATAATATTTTCAATCAAGTAAAATATAAAAACATTAAAAATAATAAAAATGAATTTGGATGTTTATGTATATAAATTGAATATGTTTCACATAAAAATATACACTTTCCTAGATTTAAATATTTTCCTACAAGTCTTGCACATGTTTATAAAATTTTATAATAGCCAATATTGTTTTAGAAAAAATATTACAAATATATCAACATGTGCTATTATAAAATAATGACCGAATAATCAATTTTTTCAAAAAATATCGATATATTTTCAAATTACGGATAACTTAGTGTTACAACATTTTCAATATTTTCAATATTTGATGTTACAATTTTTTACAATATCAACTCAAGTAATTGCAAAGTAGATGAAACGAACTTAATTACAATTTGCATGTATCTTTTATAAAAAAAATATTGTAAATATGTACTCAAGTTTTTATTGTTGTGATGAAAAAAGTAACTACAAAAATTCTTTGTTGGAACATTTTTTTTTAAAATTACTCATTAATTTACAATACAACAATTTTCAAATTATAAATATTTATTAACATTTTAATTTTTATAATTAAATTTAAATATAAAAACATTTATTTGTTTTTTATTAAAAAAAAAAAAACCCTAAAAATCCAACCCACCCACCCCACCCCGCCGCCGCCGCCACTCCCTCAATCCCAGGCCGTCGGAACGGCCGATCCTAGGCCGGCAACGGCCTGGAATTAAAATCCCGAGGCCTGCGACGGCTTCAACTCGGAGGCCGTCGCAGGCCTCCGATCTGTCGTTCTAGGCCGGCGACGGCCTGGGAACTTCTCCCCAGGTAGTCGCCGGCCTGGGAAGGTGGAGGGAGGCGGGGCCTTGGCGGGTGGGGGTGGTGGCGGGTCGGGTTGGGTGGGGATGGGTTGGAGAAGATGAGGGTTATGGTTTTTTTTTTTTTTTTTAAGTGAGGGTATTATTGTCAATTTAGGGGTGTCCGATTTAATTGGTGGGTTCGTACTCATTTACCCCACATTTTATACCATCATACACCTATGTACAATTTTATTAGCCTAAAGTACAGATTCTGAAGCATGCCTTATCCTGACTCTTGAGCGGACTGAGAGTCAGGATAGACTTCCCGAAGAAAGTCACACAAGGCTAATAATTTAGGGTAGAGTTGTCATATTTTAAAATTTGCTGAAAAAAAAAGGGCTGGTGCGTTCAAATTAATTGAAATTTGTGCACTCGAAATAATCGAGTATATAAAATGATTCATCTATAAATATGAGCAGGATTGGTTAAGAGTAGAACTCTGGCCACTGTCGCTTATTCCTTAATTGAACAAGATAACAGAAAATGAACTGCAAGACAGAGATTACTACTCTATCTATCTACTTAATCTCTCCTCAATCTCACTCCACTTGTCCGCACTCCTGGGGAACTTCTTCTTCATCTGTTCAACAATTTTCCTAGCCTCATCAATCTTCTCAATGAACATCAAACCTTTCACAAGAGACTTCATAGTTGTAATATTTGGGATCCAATTTTTTGCCATAGACTCCTTGCAGATGCTTAAAGCAGCCTCGAAATCTTTTCCTTCACACAAATAATAAATTAAAGTGAAATAAGACTCGCCATCTGGCTTCAAATTCCGGCTCACCATCTCCTCAAACAAACTTTTAGCCACATCCAATTTGCCTTCCCTACAAAACCCATAAATCAAATGATGGTAGGTCATACAAGTCGGATTCATCCCCCTAGACAAAATTGCATCCAATAACGCCTTCGCCTCAGACGACCTCTTAAGCTTGCATAAGCTCTGAATCCTTACATTATAAATGCTGATCCCTTGCTCAAATCCATATCTCCTCATCAACTCCGTTATCTTACCTACGTCCATAAACTTTTCCTCCGCATAAAACCCCACAATCACAGTAGAAAACGTTGTTGCATTGGGTTTTATACTCTTCCTTTCCATTTCAGCCAGTAGGGAGTGTGACAAACTCGCGCTACCTGACTCGCAGAACCCCGAGAGAACAGTATTATACGTGTCCAAATTCGGCACCAATCCATATTTCTTAGGAAACTCATCGAAAATCCTCTTCATCTCCCCGTATTCCTTACCCACAATGCAAGAAATCTTCACGTTCCTTTCAACACCCATCTCAGGCATTTCATCGAATAGCTTAACTGCGTCACCCACAAGACCCGCCTGGCCATATAGGACGATGAAATGGGAAACGAATCGCTCAGATTTGGAATCGGATCGGGTTAGGGACTCATTAAGGAAGCATCGAATGCCGTCGTAGTAGTGGAATTCTTTAAGTTTTGAAATGGCCTTGGTATAGGCTACTCTATCGAGGTGTGATTCGGGAGTGAGTGAGGCGGCGCGACAGATGTCGAGGATCCGTTCTGGGTCAGTTTCGAATTGGATGAGTGAGATTGTGGTCCGGGATTTGTCTCTGCCGGTGAGAGGAGTTTTGGAGTCTGGGTTCAGGATTGAAGTTGAGGTTGATAATAGGCGGTGGCGTTGGAGTATCAGTGATCGGAGGTTGTTGCGTAATGCCATTGTTTGTTTTCAATTTTAGGGTTTCGGAATTGGGGGTGAGGAAGACTGAAAAAATAAATTAAGATAACCATCCGTTTGGGATCGGGGTTTGAACCCGTCTGAACTGGAGTCAGGCGCGCTACCATTGCGCCACGGATCCCTCTGTGGTGTTGCTGCTAAATAAATTTTTAATAAAATATTTTATATTTTATATAATATGAAAACAAATGCTCCAGCTTTTGTACTCGGTCAAAATTTGTTGTGAATTAGATAGATGTAAAATGTAAATCAATTAGTATTCTTCTCAAATAAAATTCATTTGAGCTTCGTTCAATTAGTGACCAAATCAATTTCAAAGACATTCTTAAACTTTATAAAAAGATAAAAATCAAATTTGAGTATTATATTGCTTTTAATGATTACAAATATCAAATGTATTAGTACATATTTTCAAATTAGTTTTTAAAAAACTAACTAAAATAATTTATATACTCTAAAAAAGTAACCAAAATTTTATTTAATATAGTGAGCAATCAATCATGTGTAAATATGCAAGTACCTATTTAATATTGACATTTTATGAAATCATTATTATGTCCTCTCATATGAAATACAATTTTTTTTCACGAAAATTATGATTTTTTAATTTGTTAATGCAGTGATCGCTTGAAATTTGAAACCAATCCATATCAAGTATGACTTATAGTCGCCAGTCAGGCCGCAAATATGTTGTTACAAACTTGAGGCCTGTCAATCTTGCCAGGTGACTTCCAAATGACTTGCAAAATTAAATATGTATCCAAATGAACTTGAAAATTAAATCAAACTCTTGAAACCTAAAGTTTGTCCAAACTATTTTTTGAGAATCACATGTTCTAGAAAAACACTTGGATATTACAATATTTATAATTGAAGTAAGTAGTACATAAGAGTCAAATGAGTCAACTAGTGCTAATTTAACAAGTAATGAGTTGTCTCGTTGCCTTATCTTTGACTGTGAGTAGCTTTGGACGAAATGAAATTTTAAGCAATCTTCTTGGGGTCCATTTTGATGGAAGGATTTGAAATGAAGAGGAATTTCAAATGAATGGATTTGAAATTCCAATGATTTGAAATTCATTCATTTGAAATCTCTTGTTTGGATAAATTTTTTTTACAAAGGATTTGAAATCTATTCATTTGAAAACCATATATCATTTGCAGTATTTAAAATTCTCAAACATACCTTATAATTTATTAACTTATATTTAAATAATATTCTTCGTTTAATAATTTTTAAATCTCGATTACAACTCTACATATAAACTTATTGAGAAATAAATTTTGATCTAAACCGACTTAACTTATTTTTTTTATGTTATCATCCATTTTTAAAATAATTTCATCGATTTCATTCATTTTTTTAAGATTACACTATTTTTTCACCAGTTTCATCTATTTGAACCAATTTTTCACCAAATTCATCCAATCGAAAATATTGGGTCAAATTGTAATTTTTCTGAAAATATAATTAAGATTTCTATTAAGATTGTTATAGTTGATATGAGGATAATGTTCTTTTAGGGGAAAGGGCCCTTTTTCTTGATAGTCATCGAAATTGTTTTGGTTGGATTGATGAATGGTTTGGCCTAGCAATGGAAATTATGCGCGTTCCAGAAAACAGACTAGTTCCACCTCATTAGACGAGGTAATGAGAACATAAATATATATATATATATATATATATATATATATATATATATATAATTTCTGCCATTTTGTGACTAGTTTCTCGAGTTTTGAACTTGAATTTTGATGATTCTGAAATGATTCATAATGCTTCATGGAGATATTATTTAGTACTATCAAATTTGATTTTCTAAATCACATAACTAATTGTCTATAGCATTTGTTTTTAGGAAATCAAAATAGGAGTATAACAAATGTGCTTTCTTGTTGATTTATGCGGATTTTTTGGAGATTGATAACTCGTGTCTTTCAATGCAGAAACTTGTCGGTGTTGTGTATGATGGCAAACAAGGAGGAATTAGATGATGCTTGGTCGGTAATGTAACAAAAAGATCCAATTATTCCCTTTATAGGAATTTTTTATTCCATTCTCAAGTTCATGTTTCAAAAGTTGCTACAGGGATTTAGGCTGACATATAGAATAAGATCACAAAATCCATCATGTAATATATCTATACTGTCTTTAGTTGTGCAGGGAACATCTTGCCACTTACGGTTAAATCTTAATTAGATTTAAATATGACCATGTAATGGTTCAATCAGAAAAAAAAAAAAGAAATCTGATGAGAAGTATATTCTCTAGAAGAAATGTAATTTTATTCTAATTTCGATCTAATCTCAAGAAGAATCATGCATGTAATAAATGTAGATTACCAAAAAAAAAAAAAAGATATTTATAATTACTTTACATCTTAAGAATACAAATACTTACACGGTTCCAACTTTTTTCTCTGTGGTGACATGAGTTTCATCGGTCACAATTAGCCTTGCCATGCCAAAGTCTGCAATTTTTGCTATCTAAAAGAATATTATTGGCTTTCAGATCACGATGAATGATCTTAACTCCATATTCTTTTTCGTGTAGATAGAGCAACCCCTTGGCGATGCCCTCTATAATCTTAAATCGTCGATCCCAATCCAAGATGGCACGTCTAGTAGGATATGCATGGCCAATGTAAGAGAGGTAATTAGACCAGTAGCTAATAATAAACGTGAAATTATTTTAAATACTATGAATAAATTGACTTCTTACCAAATATGGAAAGATCGAGACTCCCATTTTGAATGAATTCATAAATAAGAAGTTTCTCCGTTCCTTCTACGGAGAAACCCAATAGACTAACAAGGTTCCTATGTTGAAGCCTAGCTAATAGCTTGACCTCGTTCTTGAACTCCAAATCACCTTGCGTTGAATCCTTGGCCAATCTTTTAACGGCTTTTTCTTGACCGTTTAGAAGTTGTCCCTGAAATTGGATCATAGCGCTCTTGTTAGTTATCATTCTTATATATATGCATACATAGAAACCATAATACCTTGTATACAGCTCCAAATCCACCACTCCCCAGTTTGTTCGCCTCAAAAAAATCATCCGTCGCAGCTCTGATTTTTGCAAAGTTGTACAACAAGGACTTGATAAACGTAACTTCGTCCACATCTTCACCAAGTAAAAGAAAAAGTTTCTATTTAGTTGATGCCGAAATTAATTGAACTTTTAGCAAAAAAATCAACAAAAGAAATTAGAAACTTACTTTGAGATTCTTTCTTTGACTTTTGTTTTATTTTCCTCATTAAAAATATGACAATAAAAATAGCTAGTATAGCCACAACAACTGAGACAGGAGCAATAATAATAAATCGATATGTATTGTTATCATCCGAGCCGGCAAAATAAAGAGAAGAATTCATCAAATTTTGAATTATTTTGTGATGTAGTAAGAAACTAATATAAGGGCTAAAAAGAATTTCTATCTAAATCATGCTCTTATGGTTAACTGAGTCTATTAGTCTATAAGTATATATATAGCCGAACTAATTTTTACTTCTGAATTATTTTGTTTTGCACGTAGTAAGAAACTAATAGAAGGGCTAAAAAGAATTTCATCTAAATCATGCTCTGATGGTTAACAGTCTATCTATATCTATATCTATATCTATATTTATTTTATTTTTTTATTTATTCTTTCATTTTTTGTGAAGACTAATATACCCCTCTCTAAATTATATTGTAATATTTAATTTTATGGCAAAAATGTAAAATAAAAGAATCCTAGGAAGTATAATTAGACAAGAAATCTCTCATACATCAACCTTATTATAATTATCTTTTAAGGTTTTACAACTCCTAATAAAAAAATAAAAAAATTCTAAATAACCTATTTCTCTATATTTTTTGAAATTTACTTTAAAAAGTTCTTAAAAAGTTATCACTTATTGAAGATCTACATAAGAACAAAAAATGCCACATTTGTGCTGCATGAAAAAACACTATTTAGTTTAACTAAAAAAATATATTATTTGCTCGATTAAAAAATATATGATAAAAATGATAAACCAATGGAAAAATGGGTTAGATAGAAAGAAAAAAGGCGAATTAAAGCACAAAAAATGGTGCAATTAATAAAACAACAAGGTAAATCGGCAAAAAATTGGTAAAATCGATAAAAAAAAAATTAATGACATCGGCTAAACACGGGATAACAAAAAAAAAATGATCAAATCGATAATAAAAGAAGAAAAACATTGTGATATTTAATTTTATGGCAAAAAGGTAAAATAAAAGAATCCTAGAAGTATAATTAGACAAGAAGTCTCTCATACATCAACCTTATTATAATTATATTTTAAAGTTTTACAACTCAATAAAATATTAATAAAAAAATAAAAAAAACTATTACTTAATATTTCTTCGAAAAAAATGGTTTAGATAGAAAAAAAATGCGAGTTAAAGCAGAAATAATAGTGCAATTGATAAAACAACAAGGTAAATCGACAAAACAAATTGGTAAAACCGATTAAAAAATGAATGACACCAGCTAAACACGAGATAACAAAAAAGAAAAGGATCAAATCGATAAAAGAACAACAGCAAAAAAAGGAGTAAATTGGGAAAAAAAGGAAATATGTGAGAAAATGGTTAAATCAACAAAATAATAAGTATAATCAAACTAAAATTGGGTTAAATCGGAAAGAATGAGTGAATTGATTAACAAATGAGATAAAATCGACTAAAATTGGGTTAAACTAGATAGAATAGATGGATTGATTAAGAAATATGATAAACAACAAAGAACGAGTGAAATCAGTGAAAGAACGGGCTAAAATAACAAAAAAGAAATGATAAACTCAATGTAAAAGTAGGTAAAACCGATATTACTTTGGAAAGTTCTTAAGAATTATTATTTATCAAAGAACCTCAAAAAATTAAAGAACCTAAAAACAAAAGGCCAACTTTAAATAAAAAAAAAGTACTATTTAGGTAACTGAAAGAACAAGAACAAAAAATGAGTTAAATTGGCAAAAAACGAGAGTGTAATATGTGAGAAAATAGGTTTAATTAGCAAAAGAATAGGTAAAATCTAATAAAATTGGATTAAACCGGAGAGAATATGTGTGTTGATTAACATATGGGATAATACACAAAAATGAGTGAAA